CTGGGTTCGATTCCTCAGCACCACATAAGCAAAAAGAAAAAAGCCGGAAGTGGCATTGTGGCTCAAGTGGTAGAGTGCTAGCCTTGAGCTGAAGAACTGAGGGACAGCGTCCAGGCCCAGAGTTCAGGCCCCACGACCGGACCAAGAAAACAACAACAACAACAAAAAAAGAAAATAAAGCTATTCAGAAACACAGTGCTTGTCTCTGACTTCCTGGCTGCTGTTTCCTGTACCTCATTTGCACTGATAGGTCCTATTTCAACATAATTTGAAAATAACTAATGCAGCTGGGTGTCAGTGGCTCATGACTGTAATCCTAGTTATGCAGGAGGCTGAGATCTAGGTATTGCAGTAGTTAAAAGCCAGCCTGGGTAGGAAAGTCCATAAAACTCTTACCTCCAATCATCCATCAGAAAATCAGAAGTGGAGTTGTGGCTCAAACTGGTAGAGCAATCATATCGCCAAAAGTAATATGCAATCCCCATCAAGATCCCGATGACATTCTTTACTGAGATAAAGAAAACAATCCAGAAATTCATATGGAACAACAAAAGACCTAGAAGAGCCAAAGCGATTTTAGGCCAAAAAAAGCAATGCAGGTGGTACCCTGATACCAGACTTCAAACTCTACTCAGAGCTGTAATAACAAATCAGATTGGTATTGGCACAAAAATAGGCCTGAAGATCAATGGAACAGATTAGAAGACCCAGAAGCAAAACTACATACTTATAGTCATCTAATGTTTGACAATGGAGAAAAATCATAGCCTCTTCAACAATTGGTGTTGAGAGCCGGGCGCCGGTGGCTCACGCCTGTAATCCTAGCTACTCGGGAGGCTGAGATCTGAGGATTGCGGTTCAAAGCCAGCCTGGGCAGGAGAGACCGTGAGACTCCTATCTCCAATAAACCACTAGAAAACCGGAAGTGGCGCTGTAGCTCAAGTGGTAGAGCGCTCGCCTTGAGCTGAAGAGCTGAAGGACAGCACCCAGGCCCAGAGTTCAAGCCCCACAACCACCAAAAAAAAAAAAAATTGGTGTTGGGAAAACTGGGCAGCCACATGCAGAAAATTAAAAGTGCATACCTGATTGTTACCAGGCATTTATATTAATTCAAAGTGGATCAAAGACCTCAACATCAGACCCCAAACACTGAAACTACTGTGAGAGACAGTAGGAGACATTAGGACTTCTAGATACAGGAAGAAACTTCCTGAATAGAGTCCCTAGGCACAACAAATAGGAAAGAGACTCAACGAATGGGACTACATTAAAATAAAAAGTTTCTGCACAGCTAAGGACATAGTTACCAAACTAGAAAGACAGCCAGCAAACTGGGAAAAGATCTTTACCAGAAATCCATCAGACAAAGATCTAATATCTGGGCTGGGAAGGTGGCTCAGTGGTAGAATGCTTGCCTTGTATACATGAGGCCTTGGGTTCAATTCCTCAGCACCACATAAACAGAAAAGGCAAGAAGTGGCACTGTGGCTCAAGTGGTAGAGCGCTAGCCTTGAGCTGAAGAGCTCAGGGACAGCGCCCAGACCTAGAGTTCAAGCCCCACCACCAGCAAAAAAAAAAAAAAAAAAAAACCTACTATCCAATATATATAAGAAGTTTAAGAAACTAACCACTTGTATACAGTACACCAGTTATTAAATGGGCAAGGGAGCTAAGAAATGACTTCTCAGCAGAATGGCAAAGAAACACAGGAGGAAACGTTTTTCATCCCTGGTCATAGAGGAAATGCAAATCCAAAGAACCCTGAGATACTACTATCTTACCCCAGTTAAACTGGCCAACATTTTGAATTCTAGTAACAAGTACTGACTAAAATGTGGGGGAAAAGGAACTGCACTGCTGTGGGAATGTAAGCTAGTACAACCATTCTGGAAAGCAGTCTGGAGGTTCCTCAAAAACTAAGTGCTTGTGGCTCACGCCTGTAATCCTAGCTACTCAGGAGGCTGAGAGCTGAGGATTGTGGTCCAAAGCTAGTCCAGGCAGGAAAATCCATGAGACTACTATCTCCAATTAACCACCAGAAAACCAGAAGTGGTGCTGTGGCTCAAGTGGAAGAGTGCTACAAAAATCTAAATGTAGACTACCCTGGGCATCTACCCTGAGCAGCATGAGCCAGGATATGATAAGGACATCTACGTCTCCATGTTCCTTGCCACACTGTTCATAGTAGCCAAGATATGGAAAGGAAACAACTCAGATGCCCCACAATAGATGAATAGGTAAAAAAAAATGTGATACCTATATACAATGGAATTTTACGCAGCCATTAGAATAAAATAATGTCATTTGCAGGAAAACAGATGGAACTAGAATAAATCGTGTCATTTGGTAAGCCAAGATCAAGAGAGACAAAGCATGTTCTCTCAGATATGCAGGTATTAAACTTAAACTGCACTGAGACATGACAGAATATACAGAATTCTAGATACCCACATAGCGTGAGGCCAAAAGAGGATAGTCTTAGGACTATCACAAAGGTGCAATACCCAAGCGCCTCTTCTTATGTATATAAAATAATGTACATACTGAAATGAACTCCAAAGATGTGGAAGCAAAGGATTTTTGTCTTAATTTGTTTTTTCTTTTTCTTTTTTAATTACTCTCTATTCTTTATAGAACATGGTATATTTGGTGCACATCTGTGGGAGGATGGAGTGAGAACACAGAATCAGAGGAAAAATGGAGAAAAAGTGCAGTAGTAGAGCATGCTGGCTGCACTGGTCAAGGATGAAAGTGAACTGCG